GGGGAGGGGGAGGCGGGCCGGTCGAGTCCAAAGCTCCGGGGAAACGACCCTCCACAGTGGACTCCCCCAAACCCAGCGCTAAGAAGCAGAAGAAGGCCAGCTCTGAGGGGCTGAAAGGGCCGAGCAGAGGGGCTTTTACCGGAACGTCTCCTCGCGTCTCCTCCTCCTCAGCACCCAGCCAACCCTACGGCGAGAAGAAACCCTCCAAGGATAAAGGCCGCTGGGCCAAGGGCAAAAATGACACGCAGGAGCTGAAGGAACCTAAGAAACCTCTGGAGTCAGAGGAGTCAAATTCAGAAGACGAAGCATCGTCGAAGTCAGAGGTCTGAGGAAGTTTTATACTTAAAAATTTAAATTTAACTTCTGGGAGTCATTTATTTAATCTAGAACATTTTTTCTTACAGCTTTTTTCTATATTTAATTAGACGTCACTTTTCAATGGGAACGCCTTCAGTTGTGGTGTTTATTTGACCAAATTTTTGTTTATTGTTGGAAAGAAAATGAATAATCCAACTCAAATGCGTTATTAGGGTTGCAACGAAACATAAAATTCACAATTCAGTTTGATACTTTTTCGATACAAAAAAGAGAAATGTCCACGCCCTTATTTACCTTTAATTTATTGAAATTAATTATGAACATTTGTTTAACTTCAAAAGTACCGTTTTTAAATTAAATGTTGCTGAAACATCACGTTTCTCAGTGGATCTGCGCTCCACAATGCAGTCTAGGTGGAGTAGTCGAGCCCAGATCCACTGATCCTTCAACACAGAGCGTCTTCAGAAGACAAGTTAATGAAAGAGTGCGTATYAAACCTAAAGCACTGAATTGAACGGTTCAATACAGATACATGTATTGTTGCACCTCTATTATTTATGTATTTATTACCTTTAACGCAAGTAGGATCTCCTCTTTAAATCTGTTCAAAAGTGAGTTTTTTATACTTTATTTCATTCAACAAACAAATAATAATAAAACAAACAAATAATGAAAGAACAAACAAATAATAATAGAAACAAGCAAATAATACAACATTGTGCCAAAAACACAATCACAACGTAGTCAAATGAAAAGGAGCAGAAAAAAGATTAAAATCTTGTAACATCTGCCCCCAATTAAAAAAAATGTGTATCTAAAAAAACCTACAACATACGAATAAAAAACTCAACTTACTACACAATATAATGTCAAATAATCAACAAACAGCATCACAACACAAATACCAATCTATACCAAGTTTTTGTTCATATCTCATTAAAAAATAAACTTTTAGCATTCTACTAAATTAATAAATCCTTCCAGCATTCTTAAGGTCATCAAGCAAAATATTTTTTTCTTTCCCTTATCC